TGCCCCAGTGCTGGTGCCTGCTTTGCTTTCCTTGGGTTCCAGCACAGGCTCTCTCTGCCTTGTCTGGGGCCCTCCCAGCTGCCTGCTGGTGGCTGCGATCAGGCTGCCGTTGCCTCTCTCGGGTGAAGGAAGCTGGGCGTCTTCACTTTCTCCCTGTAAAACGTTTTGGAGCCCTTCTTCAGCTCTCACGCTTGAGCCGGGGTGCTGGCGTGCTGCTTACCCCCCAGGGGCTCGCTGTCAGCTGTGGCCTTGGACCGCGCAGTGTCAGGATGTTCCCCTGGTCCCACAGCCCCCACATGCCTCGTGCTGCTGCAGGACTGGTGCTCCTAGGCAGGAAAATGCAAAGGACCTAACTCCTGGTGTTGCCTAAGGCGTGGGGGGAATGTGTTCCTGGATTTCTTGGTAGGTGTTTTTGTTTGTTTGTTTGTTTGTTTTTTAACTATAAATATCTCATAAGGTATTTCCCAAAAGCTGCTCTGGCCAGTTCGCTGTAATGCCACTGAAGTGGCGTTTTCCCCTGGGGGTTCTTAGCTGTGGATGTGACTTGCTGATTTAGGTTGCTGATTGTAGGTGAATGAGGGGAAATTCATTCATGGAGCCTGTGTGTGTGCGGTGCTTATGTGCACAAACAAGGTGCTGAGGTGAAGACAGCACAAAAAGGTGGAGATCTTGCATGTGTCCTCAGCGAGGGCGCTGTCCAGCTCTGGCCATCATCTCCTAAAGGGTGAGGGAAGACCAAACCAGCAGCTAGGGAGCAGACAGGAGGAGCATGGCAAGGGGTTTGGGGCATGTGGCTGTGGGGCCGCTGTCCCGATGGCACGCTCATCATTCCAGCTCTCTGAGGGAAGCTGGGCTTTACTAGGCATCCACGCACCTGCCTTCCGTGTCCAACCCTATTAAAACCGGGGCCAAATGATCTCAAAGATTAGGCCTTGTTAAACCCTTTTAGCTTAGCCTTCACAGGCTTAACTTAAAAACCAGGCTTTCACATGAAGGTGTGTTTCATGCTGCAGGGCTTCGGGTGATGTTTTTAACAGCCGGGGGCTTTCCTGGTAAGAGCAGTGCCCCTGGGCCTGGCCCTGCACAGCCCCAGTGCCCCTCTGCTGCAGGAATCCTCTGCAGCTGGCTGCGGGGATGGGAGGGCAGGAGCCCACCAGGGACCAGCTCCTCGTGGATTTCCTCGTTCCTGTGCAGAGGGGGGTGTGTGGGGCCTGGCTGCAGCACTGTTGCTCTCTGGCCTGGGGCCTCGCTGCGGGTGCAGCTTTTCCAGCCCTGCCCGGCATCCTGAGCTGCTGCACAGGGGATCCCAGGTGCGACCCTCGTGCTGTGAGCTGCGGCCGTGGGGCTCCGGGTGTTGGAAAAACCCGGGGTGCTGGGGGGGGGAGCAGCTGGGGGGGGTCTCAGGGCCTTGCTGCCTGCTCGGCACCGCCCAGCTCCGGCCCCGCCACCGGCAGCAGCAGCGGGGCCGGGGCCTCGACCTCGTTCTTTTTTCCGTGCCCTCAGCCCCAGGTGCGGGGTTCGGGGCCGCTCACCCCGTCCCTCCCGGGGCGCGGTGACAGCGGCTGCGCTGCCCCGGCACCGCCTGCGGGCGTCGCTGCGGGGCCGGCCCCGAGCTGCGCCCGGTGCTGGCGGCGGCGTTACCGGGCGGGGCGCTGGGCGCGGCCCCGGGCCCGTTCCCCCGGGTTCCCCCCCCCGATCCCGGGGTCCCCCCGGGGCTCCTCCCCCGGCTCCCCCCGTTCTCGCCGCCCCCCCCCCCCGGTGGCCGCACGTGGCGCGGCGGCGCCGAGGGGGCGCGGCCGGGGGCGTGGCCTCGGGCTGGGTGGGCGGGGCCTCCCCGCCCCTTTTCCCGCCGGCGCGGCGGGCGCACGTGGCGGCGGCGGGGCGGGGCGGCGGGGCGGGCGGCGGGGGCGCGCACTGCGCCGGCGGGAGCGCGCGCGGCGGCGGGGCGGGGCGAGGCGCGGCGCTGAGCGGCGGCGGCGGCGGAGCGGGCAGCGAGCGCGGGGCCGCGCCGGGGCCGGGGCCGGGGCCGGGGCCGGGGCGGGCGGCGGGCCCCGCCGGGCGGCCGGCGCCATGGGCACGGTGCTGTCGCTGTCGCCGAGCTACCGGAAGGCCCCGCTGTTCGAGGAGGGGGCGGCCACGGTGGGGCACTACACGGCGGTGCAGAACAGCAAGAACGCGAAGGAGAAGGGCCTGAAGCGGCACTCGCTCATCTCCGTGCTGCCCTGGAAGCGCATCGCCGCCGTCTCGGCCAAGAAGAAGAGCTCCAAGAAGGTGCAGCCCAACGGCGGCTACCAGAGCAACGTCACCCACCTGAACAACGAGAACCTGAAGAAGTCTCTCTCCTGCGCCAACCTCGCCACCTTCGCCCCGCCGCCCCCCGCCGCCGCCGCCGCCGCCGCCCTCGCCTCGGCGCAGAAAGCCCCCGCGGCCGCGCCCGCCGCCGCCGCCACCCCGCGCCGCGTCGTGGTGCAGGCGTCCACCAGCGAGCTGCTGCGCTGCCTGGGCGAGTTCCTGTGCCGCCGCTGCTACCGCCTGAAGCACCTCTCGCCCACCGACCCCGTGCTCTGGCTGCGCTCCGTGGACCGCTCGCTGCTGCTGCAGGGCTGGCAGGACCAGGGCTTCATCACGCCGGCCAACGTGGTCTTCCTCTACATGCTGTGCCGGGACGTCATCTCGGCCGAGGTGGCCAGCGACCACGAACTGCAGGCAGTGCTGCTCACCTGCCTGTACCTCTCCTACTCCTACATGGGCAACGAGATCTCCTACCCGCTCAAGCCCTTCCTGGTGGAGAGCTGTAAGGAGGCCTTCTGGGACCGCTGCCTCTCCATCATCGACCTCATGAGCCCCAAGATGCTGCAGGTCAACGCCGACCCGCACTTCTTCACGCAGGTCTTCGCCGACCTCAAGAAGGAGAGCGGCGCCGAGGAGAAGGGCCGCCTGCTCATCGGCCTCGACCGGTGAGCGCCGCCGCCGCCGCCGCCTCGCCCCCGGGGCTGCCCCCCCCCGACCCCCCTCCGATCCGGGACCGGGGACCCCCCCCGACCCCCTCCCCAGCCCAGCAAAGCGGCGGCGGAGCGGAAACCTCGCCCCTCCCCCCCCATCTCCTTCTCCATCATCCCCCTCCCCAATATTCCCGTCCTCCGGGGCTGGCTCAGCTCGGCTGCAGCGAAACCGGGTGGGGAAAAAAAAAAAAAAGCAAAAAGAAGGAAAAAAAAAAGAAAAAAAAAAAAGCCCAGAGGCTTGCGGCGGCGGGGGAGGGGGGGGCGCCCGGGGGGAGCGGGGCAGCCCCGGTCTGGCCCGGCCCCGGCGACAGCGCGGCCGAGACAAAGAGCAGGTAGGGGGGAAAATGGGATAAAAAAAACAAAAAATTTCAAAAAAAAAAAAAGGAAAAAGGGCAAAAAAAGCGACCCCTGCGGGCCCCGCCGGCTGCGGGGGGGCGGCCGCCAGCGGGAGCCCGGCTCCGGTGCGGGAGCTGCGGGCGCGGATGGGATCGGAACGGATCGAAATGGATCGGATCGGAACGGATCGGATCGGATCCGAAAGGAACGGATCGGAACGGAACGAAGCTGTGAAGGGCCGGGCCGGGCCGAGCTGCCCGGCCCCGGGCTGGCCCCCGCCCCTCCCGCCCCGTTATTTATTTTCTTTGAAAAGACTCGGATTTCTGAGTGGGTCTGGGGTAGGGAAATAACTGCTACTGTATCATTACATCAATGTGAAATGTATTGTTCCCATCGTGCACTGATCATGAGTATTGTGTAAGGATCTACTTGAGTGTGCAAGCAAGGAAAGAAATCTACATGCTGCTATATGAATACTTTTAGAACAAAAATACTAACCTACGGGGGAAAAAAAAAGGAGAAACCCTTCTTTATTCTTTCATTGTTGCTTTTACAGTGGTATTGCGCATGCAAACAGAAGCATTTTGTGTCTTCAAAAAAAAAAAAGGGAAAAAAAACACAAAAAAATCAAAAGAAAACCTTACAAGAGATGGCTGTAAAAATTACACCCATGCACAAAGACCCGACACCACCCCGATACCGCAGTCTTGAGCCGGTATTCCCTTATCAGGCCTGGGGACTGATAAGTTTTTTCTTTTTTTTTTTTTTTTTTCTTCGTGTGCACAGTTCTAGTTTAGTTCTGGTCCATCGGTCGTTAAACATGCAAGCGAGAGGGAGGAATGACGTGCCATTTCTTTTTCTTTTTCACTTGAAACTCTTCATCGCTGTACATTGGAACCTGCTAATTATACATGTGTACGTACGTTTTTTTAGTGCAATCTCTTCTGTAGATCTTTGTTGACCAAATTGGTGGGTATTGTTACTTATTAATTTATATTTGTCTCATTTTGTATGTATGTGTATAGTGCGTTTGTAAGTATGTGTGGTTTATAACCTGACAGACTGTGTCATGGGGCTCAGTGTGCCTGTAATTTAATCCCCTCCCCTTATTTTTATTTATTTTTGTACTGTGCTGATTAAATAAAATGCACTGACCATCCATTACACGGCAGCGTTTCGTGGCGGAGTCTTTTCTGCAGCGACCCGTGCGGGTCAGACGCCTTCCGTGCCCGCGTCGCAGCGTTGGAAAATTGGATTTGCCTTGACGAAGGAGGGGTTTAATGCATCAGCTGCGCCCGCGCCTTAATCGCGTTAATGGCACGGGGGTCACCCTGCCACCGGTGGCTTCGGTACGCGGTGTGGGCTGAGCAAGCAGTGGGGCTGTCCCGACGCGGCTGCCAGCAGAGCAGGCGTTTGGGGGCGAGGGGACAGGCGCAGGACGACGAGAGGAGACAACGGCGCCACTGACAGCAAAACTGGACTGAGCCGGGAGCTGTAAGGTGCCGAAGGCTCCCTGCTGCAGCACTGCCGCCCCGTGAAGGTGAACCGTGGGTTTGAGTGTGCCGAAAGGGGCCTGGAAACTCCACTGCCCTTCCATGCGTCAGGAGCATCGTCTTCCCCGCGACGCCTTACTGGTCAGAAACGGGCACCACAAGAGTGGGATGCAACTAATTGGTCTTTTATTTATGACAGTGAATTATGTAAACAAAAACCCAGGTCAATGATAGTAGGTTTTTCTGCTTTTTTACACATTAAAATATCAACTACTTAAAAAAAAAAAAAAAGTTCATTGCATTATCGCCCCAGGCTGAAAAATCAAAATTCAATTTAGAAATAGTTAATTTATGGGAAAAAAAAAACAGGAATATATATATTTTATATATTTATATATATATATAAAACCAGAGCAGGAACAGATAATATATTTTATAAAGACATTTTTCATCTCATACAATATTGCTATCTCATCTCATAGCATTAGAAATTTCCTACACACGCGATTTATTGCTGTCCATCATGATTCAGTACAACCATTTCGTTGGAGGGATAGTGTATAAAAGTGCTGATTAAAACTCCTGCCACTACCTTGCCTACGGGTTAGTGTCACTAGGGAGGCTTTGGGACCATTAGATACAAAAAGCGAGAAGTGCAAATAGAAAGGCACAGCAATGGCGAGGACTTTCCTGCTGGCGCTTCCTCGGGATGAAGGCAAGCACGCTCTCCTCCTGCCCAGGTGTGGGATGGCTTCAGCAGTGGCACTGCTGCTACTGTGGGGCACAAACTGGGATTAGGTGGCCAAGGGGCTGTGGGGGGCCCTGGGTGGTCGCACTCGGCATGGGGCAGAGGGCAGGGGGCATGGGACATGGTCGGGAGCTGGGACGTCGCTGCCACAGAGCTGTGGGGCAGCCTTTGGAGGGTGCCTGGTGCTTACCAGCTCTTGGAGGGGCCTCTGGAGGCTGTGGGGCAGCCCCCGTGTGTGGGATGCTGCGTCCCCGAGCAGCTCCCTACAAGCAGAGACCAGTGGCTGGATGTGGCTCCAGGCTTCTGGGTTCTGGTCCCATCAACCTCAGGTCTCTGGCAGTGGTTGGGGATAAAGGCTGCCCCTGCTCCCCAAGGCCACGGCATGGGTTCTGAAGCATTTTATTTAGGGTTCGTTCGGTGCGTCTGATTCCTAAAAGCCCAGAGCTCAGCTGCACCTATGGGGGTGCATCCCAGGGGCTGCAAATCCTGACCTGACCAGCAGCGCCAGGACCTGGTCTACGGGATCCCAACAGTCCCACAGCTGCCTCCGCTCAAACACCACCTCCACAGCCTGAGCTACAGCTCGCTGGCATTAAATAAAAAGCCTGGCGGGGTACCTGGCACAGAGGAGAGCTGGTGAAACCACGACCCTACGTAAACACAAAACACCAAGAGCGAGGTTAGCCAAGCTCTGTGCATCAGCTAACGGTGATGCTGGCCAAAAAGCCGAGGTGATGGCAATGGGGCTGCTGACACCCAACCAGGAAACTTCGAGGAAGGGCCCGGCCTTGCAGCCGGGTCTGTGCTCCTGCCCTGCCAGAAGCAGCGGCTGCTTAGTGCAAAGCGGGGCAGCGCTGGGCCGGGTCCATGGACCCTCAGGCCCCTGCAGAGACCCGGCCAGTGCTTCCTTACAGCCCTCACCAAACTTCACCACTGGGGATACCAAGAAGCCATGGGATCACATGAAAACTCTGCAAGGCTGCTGGGTCCAAATGGGAACCCGCTTTGGTCACTGGAGAGGGTAATTAAGGCACAAACAATGCAGATAGATAAAAAAACCCAACACCTCTGCACTGTGAATCCCACTCCCCGTTGCGCTGCACTACCCGGCTCCCACCACCTTGCCTCTGTGCTCCTGGATGCCAGCAGGGAAGCTCTGAGCTGCGTGTCCCCGACCAGCCCAACTCCGTGCGGGGCTGGGGGAGCGCCGGGCGGCTCCTCGGCAGAGACACCAGCCCTCCTCTCCAAAGGGGGCTCTGTCCCCATCAGGATGTGGTGCCCTATCACCAGGCTCCTTCCTGAGCCGGTTTCTTTGGTTCCTCCGGTGGAGGCTGCAGAATATTGCAAAACGACAGACAAACACAGAAGGGAACAGGGGAGAGGGCTGAAGAATCAACGTGGGAAAGGGAGGAGAGGGCTAAGTACCGATAAATGCTTTTTTGGAATAATTCAGATGCACTTTCCTGATACTCTGGCCTGTTTTGTAAGATGGTGACAGGCCACACTGGCTGTTTTAAGCCTTTGTTGCATATGGTAGCAAAACCCTCTCCTGAATGTGGGTTTGCTAAACCTCTGGCTTTAGAGATCTTTTTGGGTGCATGACTGTGTCACAGCTGAGCATCTCTACGTGATTCCCCTTGAAAGATCCAAGGCACGGGGAGGGAGACCAAGGCCCCAGTCTGTTTTTCCTCCGCTCTCTCCCCAGGCTCGCTGCGCCGGCGGCGTGGATGCTAATTCCCTGGCACGCAGAGGATGAAACCGGAACGATGCTTGGTGAAATCCGGCTGGGATTGGTTAATCTTCGTTTCCACGGAGACGGTGCATTTCCGCCCGTGCAGGCTGCACTGCACCGGGTTGGTGACGCTGACTTGCAGCGCGCGCTTCTCGCTGCAAGGCAAAGGGAGAGGAAGCGTCAGCGAGGGTCAGGCCGTGCTGTCGGGTCAGGGCACGTCCTGCGGCAAGCAGCGCAGAAAGCCTAAAACCAAGGAGGCCCCCGGCCTCTGGGCCTCGGCCGAGACCCTGCCTGCCCCTCAGCAGAGGGTGTCCCACGAGGGGCTTCCAGCAGCGGGACCAGCGCCGCCGGGGGGGATTCTGCTTCATGGCCAAAGCAAAGGCTGCAGAAGGCCTGGGGTCTGCTGCCAGCTCTGCCACCCACTTGCTGAACGACCTTGTGAAAAATCCCTCCCGTCTCTAAAATTAGAAAAACAGCAAGGGCATCCCTCGTTCCAAGCTTGCAGATTACAAATACAGCTTAATGTAGCTCAAAGAAGCACAGGTTGTTATTGCTTTTCCTGCCGCACTGAGGGAATTCCTCGACAGCCCGACAGACTGACCGGCAGCTCCCGGGGTCAGAGCGCCCTGCTCAGAGGCAGGGACAGGACTGTGTCACTGCAAACCATTCCCAGTTTTTTTAACCCTTTAACCCAGCTTTGTTACTAAAAATGAAGAAATAAATTCCACATGAATTGAAGAAATGAAGTCCACAGCAAGAAAAAAAAAAAAAAGAAAAATGAAAAAAAAAAAAAAGAAAGAAAACAACCCTGGCTCCCCAGACAGGCAATTGGCACAGAGAGGAAGGGTTCAGTGGTGAATCCAAACCCTCCAACCAGCCATGGCTGGCCTGGAGCTGAACTCCCAGTGCTCATGTGCGGCTGTGCTGGGGCCACCCCATCCCACATAGCACATTTCATCCCACATAGCACGTTTCACACATAGCACAGGGAAGATGCTCCTGGGTGCAAGGAGAACTTGTTCCAGCACCAGGCCCCTTGCTGGCCTCTGAGGAAGGAAACAGGGCTCCGAATGCACCTCTAAGACCCATCTGCACGTGCTGGGCCGTGGAGCCAGCTGTGCCAAGGGATGCTCATGACCAGGCAGACCCTGCTGTGCAGTGCAATGCCCATGGAGATGCCACGGCCATCAGGGCCACCAGGAGAGCTCCCTCGCTGCCTCCAGGCAATTCACCTTCTGCTGCCATCCCCTCTGTACCAGAAGGGAGCAGGCGCCACGGAGCAGTGGAGTGAAGCAGCAAGAGAAACGCCCTGTCCCTGTGAGCCCCGCTGGCCTCGGGATGCAGGAGAAACCCAGGAATTTGGCCTCTGGGAGAGCCTCCTGCAACTTCACCCATGCTTCAGATCCTGCTGAACTTCCAGCAGTTCCTAGCACAATATTTAGGGCTTTGAAGACTCAGCAGCATCAACTCCACTGCCTCTCACCATGCTCTGAACACAGCATGGGGGATACGCTGGGTTTCTGTTCTGCGTATTGGCTGTGCTTAGCTCACAGACATGGGGCTTGCCTTGCTTTAGCTGCTGCAGTATTTTCAGTGATGTGGCGTAAGCCCTTTGAACCGCACAGACTTCGATTCCACACCACTAACGCAGACTGATCAAGATGCATCATGCCCAAAAAGCAGCACTTTTATGCAGTTCACCACTCTTAAAAATACGGAGTGGTTGTTTTGTTTGGAGAGGTGCTGGCAGGGCAGCAGCACACAAAGCCCTCACGTTGTCCCAGGTATTTAATACTTATTTACTCTTGCCGCAGTGAGTTGAGGCTAAAATCCCTACTTAGTTTGCTATTTTTACCATGTCTTAGCAGAACAAGCCGTATACGCAGGAGGGCCTCTTGGAGATTCCTGCCATCGTGCGCTTGGCAGGCAGGGTTAGCATGAAGCGTCTGTAGCAGGGCTAAGTGCTGAGGTCTCCTCTCTCCTCTCCTGCAGCCCTCACCAAACCGCAGGTAAGAAGATTGAGGTTCTGCAGCCACGAATAGTTCAACTCTGTTGACCCTTCTGCACAGCAGTAAGCCAGCCCAAGCCAAGGGAGAAGAATGTCACCCAGCTGAATCTCAACCACAAGCAGGACCAGACCTGGAACTCACGTGTTCCTGGATGTATTTTGGGGTCTGTGTTTGGGCAACCTTAGGCAAGAAGCTAAACGTCTGGAGGTGTCAGCTCTTGCTAGAGAAAGAGACTGACTCCACTAAGTACATGTCTACATGAACTAACGTTGTCCTGGGATACTGGACTATGGAGGAGATCTTCTCTCCATGCAAAATGTCTGTTAAGTGCATGCTCCTCTTCCTCCCCATGTTTTCCAGATCCCAACATGATCCAGATCCCAGCATTTACTCACACTTCATCACATGTTGCTCTTCATGTGAGAACAGGTTTCAGCCTCCAAACATTTTGTTGGGAAGCAGGACAGCCCTTGAATGGCACCCAAAGAACCCTTTGCAAGTCCAGCGAAGGATCACAAACCCTGTCCTTGGTCTTTCCCAACAGTGATGCAATGCTGAACCCTGCCACCAGCTCCACAAGCAGCTCAATGTGCTGGGACCTTCCGTCCCTTGGATGCTGTTCCTGTGCTAGGTCAGTCCCAACAAAGATGAGGTTGGAAACAATCTCAGCCTGGTTCCTGGTTCATCAGTTACATTTGCATCACACCTGTGGGTGCAGCGGCAAAAAGGGGAGATGGCAGATGCTGGCTGTCCTGGAGTGAGATGGTTCATAAGTGTCCAAAAGGGAAGGAACAGCTGTCAGCATCAGCCAGTAAGCTAAGGTAAAGATATCCCAAAGCTCAGTGGCACAACTTGATTTTAGCAGATAGCACAACTGGGAGGACGCTTCCCAAGTTCCTGCAGAATTTGGGTCACAAAGGGATAGGAAGAGTCTGAGATGGAGGTGGTCCAGTTCCAATCCTGAAAGTCCAACGAAGCATTTTGAGGGCAACACACAGTGAAAACACCCTGTGGGGAGCCATCGGTGCTCTGCAGGTCGAACTGAGCAAGGAAGTGATGGCAGCAAAGGCTCAAAGAGACAAAGACTTCAAAGAGACAAGTCTCACCTCCGCACAGCCTGGGGAAAGGCCTGAGTTCTCACTGCACAATCCTGTCCCACTGTTGTCCTCTGCTCTTCCACCTCTCCACCTCAGTAAGACAAATCACGGTCAGAAAATGGGGTTGTTGTGGTGAAATTCAGGTGGAAGAATGCTTGCACTATTACATTTCAAGCTTGGAAACATAAAACTGGTCTTTGTCTCGCCATCCCTGCTGTAAGTCCATAAGCATTTCCATGGTTGCTCGGATTTGAGGAACATTTCTGAATTTACAAATTGCATACTAGTCATCCTCTGGCCTGACAACTTAAAGGAACACCTGGGGTTTGCAATGAAGACGGAATATTTTACTGTCTCCAGGTTGGTGGGCAGAACTGAATGGGGTGTTTACTGCCAGCCCCCTGCTGAAGGCACGGTCACTGTGCAGGGAGCTAAGTGACAAGCCCACGGTGCTGGAATGCAGCGGCAGAGTGAAGAGCTGAACCCAAATCCTCTGACTCTCAAGAGTTGTCTCTTAACCCCCACATCCTCCCCAGCACAGGACGTGTGTGTGAGCTTTAGCCCCACGGCCAGTCGCTCCCTGCAGCCTGTGCACACAGATCCACCTGATTCTACGTTCCTGCCTTGGGGTCAGGTGCGGTTTCTTACCGAGAACGGCTTCAAAGCCAGCTCCTGCGACCAACACACAGCTCCTGCTGGGATGCTGTGTTCTCAGTTCAGGAGAAGCCCCCTGACCTCCTCCTTCTGCTTCCACCCCCACCGCAGCCCATGGAGGTGCTGCTTCTGCCCCAAGGACATCGGCCCCGCAGAGCCCCCCAGGGCTGCCTCCAGCCCCCTCCGCCTGCACAACAGAGGCTGTTCCAGGCATCGCCCTCTATTTTAGTAAGTCCTTAATGGGCTTCCAAGATGCTCCTGGCATCTCTCTTGCACAGGCACACATTTAGGAGACCAGGCACACAACATCAGGGCTAATAGAGCCATAGATCCCAAGCACAGCCCTGCCTCTGAGCGCAGCCCCATCGGAGCTGCTTTATGGCAGGTTTGGCTGCTCACCAAGCCCGGACACAACCCGAAAGCTGACGGAAGTAAAGTCAATTAGGACAAAATGATGGATGCTGCTGCTGGGCAGCTTCTGGGAAATAAAATTACTTATTTTTAACAACTATTCCATTAGAAGAGGCAGCGAGATGCAAGTGCTGGCTGAGAGCCTGCTGGGGAAGAAACGCGAGCCCCCAGCACCCAGGCAAGAAACTGAGAAGGTGTAAAGTACAAACGGAGAGCGCCTGTGGGAGGCAGGATCTGGCCCGGCGAGGAACCGCATGGTCATAACGGCGTTAGCACCACGTGAAGGCCTCAGTGGCTTGTGACCACATTGGTCTTTTCATACAATGGTCCTGCTGGGTGGAAGCAGCCTCTCCCTCGACACGCTGCTCCCAGCTGGTTGTGTGCAGGGGCCTCTCTCTGCTACGGGGCTTTATGGCTCAGCGAGCCCTGCAGGACGCATGACTTCTCTCCCTTCACCTGCCCCGAGCCATCCTCGCACGCAAACTGCCTTTATCAGATTACTGCCCCCCGTCTGTGCTGCGGTCCATCGCCCTGCACTTGTTAGAGATGCTGTCGGGGAATGGTTGGGGCAGTCGCTGCGTGAGAGCAGGCGCGCGGGCTGAGCACCGCGTGCGTGAGCAGCCACATCCTGCAGCCAGCGCGGCGTCAGGCGTCCAGTGGGAGCTGGTGAGACACCTGGGCAAACGCCGGCAAAAGGGAAACCAGCAGAGAAGGGATGACTCAGAGTGGAAGCAGACTGCTGGCCCATGAAATATGAGAGTTTTGACTGAGCATTTAATCTAGGACCTCAGGGAAAACACAAGCCAAGTAGCGCATAAATGGCCACAGACATCTGTCAACATTGTTGATAGTACAAAAGCATCTTGTCTCCAGTAAGTGGTGGGGAGCAAAACGAACGGAGAAAAAGAGTGGAGAAAGATCAGAGGGAGTTTCTGCAAAGACAGCGGGCAGAAAGTTAAATCAATGTATTGTTAAATAAATGTT